ATTCTTTTAAATAATTATTATTCTGTTTTATAGAAATTGATGAACCTGGCCAACTATCAGTAGCATTAGCATTGTACATTTTAATCATTTAGCCTATTATTTCTTTTAGGATAAAGTCATGTTATTTATCAGTATTTATGTTATCTGTGTAAAAATGCACTACATGGCTGCTTTTGCCTGTGCAGGCTGTGAAATAAATAGAAATGCCCAGCAAAAAATTATATTGGGAGTATTCTAGACCAGCGGCCCGCAACCTTTTTTTTGCACCAAGGACCAGTTTATGTCCGACAATATTTTAACAGACTGGCCTTTAAGGTGTCGTGGATGAATACAACAAAATAAAACCAGTACCAGTTCCAAAAAAGAGATTTATTCATAAGATACGGGAAAAGACCCAGGGAAACATAGTTAACGATAAAAACAATTTAAAAAATAACTATAAAAACCCTGAAAACAATAAATTTCACACCCAAGCCTCAACTCTCGCGGCTCGGTACCAAACGACTCACAGACCGGTACCAGTCCATGGCCCATGGATTGGGGACCGCTGTTCATGTGACCATTTTTAACCCCACCACCCATATTTCACAGCCAGCAGAGATAACACAGCTCATGTCTGTCTAACAAACAGGAAATCACCCTATGGTGTCGTTTGTTAAATAAATAATTCATGTATTTTATTATCCTGAATTAATCATATTAATCCTTTATTATGTGAAGGATTCTTTACATGATCTTATTCGTCAGTCTTGGTGTAGACAGTGAGAGTGAAATCTGCAGTGATGTTGGGTTCATTGGTGGATGGGATGATCACATACTCTCCAGGTTCCAGACTGTGGAGTTCAATGAGATCTCGCTGAGTGCTGTAAGTCTTTTCTGCCTTCACAGGCCTGTTCCTCTGAAAGAAATCCTGTTGCAGGCTTCTTTGTGGGGTCTGGGAGAAATATGAAGGAATGTCTATGGTGGAGTCTCAGTGTACATTGTTATTAAAGTTATTAAAATGCTGAATTTACTTTTGGTGTACTTTACACAGTCAAAGTTTCATATATTTGTTATTGTTTGTACTTACCCCTGGTGGAATCTGTTAATTGGAAAACGGTAAGAATAACTTCATTAAACTGTTTCAGACGAACCAATTTCTATAGTAACTTTAAATAATGAATGCGAAATCAGCAAAGACCATTTTTTTAAATTATTAATGTCATTATTGTCTTACTAACTCAGCTGCTCAATTAGGTAAGTACTTTTGTCTTAATTACAGGATGATACAATTGTTTTAATAATTCAGTTTCTTGTCCTTCAGTATTCGGTTGCAATATTTAACAATTATTTAAATTAAAGGAAGCACATTGAGAATGAATACCTTATAGATGGTAAGTCTAGTTCGGTGGAGGCTTATCTCTTTGCGATTGCCCTGCTGAGGTTTCTGCATCAGGGAGAGCACGATGTTTTTGTCTCCTGGCTCCTTCTTGTCTATAACAGTCACTCG